TTGATTCAACCACAAACAGATGCAGAGTGGCAAAGCCCAAGCAGGCAGTTTCAGGGACAAGGTGAATTTCATGGCTCACACCCCATCAGTGCCACAATGTGTGCCATTTTGTGTACTGAGGAAAAGGCTATGGGGCTGGAAGAATAACAGCAAGCTCTACATGTACTAAGCCAGGAACAAGCTCATTTCCAGCCCGAAGCATTGTACTGATCCCACAGGAAAAGCAGTATCTACATGGCATCTTAAAGGTTCCACCCAAGATAGGCTCAGGTGACCCCCCAGACCTAAGGCAGTAGGCCCAGACCTCCACAAATGCCACAATGGGTGCCATTTTGTGTACTGAGGAAAAGACTGTGGAGCTAGAGGGATGTCAGTGAACTCCACAGGCATTGAGTCAAGAGAAAGCTAATTTCCAGCTCAATGCATTGCACTGGTCTCAAGGGGAAATAGTACTGACTTCACATCCTATGGTTTCTACACAAAATAGGTCCAAGTGATGTCAAACCTTATGGCCAGCAGGTTCTGGCACTACTGACAGCCCAGTGATTTAGGATAGCTGACAGCTCCCTAATTCTGGGCACTGCTTAAACCAAGACTGGGAGAAAGGTTATGCAAGCAACATGACTACAGCACAGTATCACAATGGATAGAAAGGAGTAAACCAGGAGCTGGGTCTGTGGAGACCATGATGGACGCAGAGCACAAGAGCCTGGGACTGAAACTTGCTGGAGGGAGTAACACAAGTAACTGCAAATGATGAACCGGGTACACAATCAGAAAAATCGATCTATAGACCTGTGGGCAACACACTTTAGAAACCAGCCCTACGGAGAGCAATCTGCGAACTAGAATAGCAATTACCAACAACAAAAGAAGAAACAGAGGCACAATGAATGTTACTGATGCCTCCACTGCAAAGGAGCAAAAGCAAAAATGGGGAGGGGTAAAAAAATATTAAAAACTTGTTATAAAGCTTCTTAACAACACTGAGAAGTACATACAGGAGATCAAGGAATTTAAGGAATGTGTCACACAAAATAGCAGCGCTGAAACTAGATCAAGCCAAATTATTAGACATGAAATTCAGTAATAGAATGAGCAAGCAAAAGAAAGATTTTCAGAATTGGAAATTATTTCTCACAATGGAGAAACAACCAAAAAGCTGGAAATAACTGAGTCAAGCAAAAAAGTACAAGAATTGAGATACTATTAAAAGGCCGACTATAAGAATTATGGGAGTCCCAGAAGGCACAGAAGGAGAAGCTGGGTTTAAAAATGTATTCAATGAAATAATAAAGGAGCATTCCCTAATTTGGAAAACGATTTAGAAAACAACTACAGAAGGGACACGAGGGACACAGAACTCCCAATAAGGTTGATCTTATTCGCCATGACACATGATAACGAAGCTCTCTTGTTAAATGCGGGTAAAAGACCCTTAAATATCCACATGAAAAAGTCAATTAACATATAGAGGAACCCCAATCAGTCTCACTGCTGACTTCTCACAGGAAATTCTAAAGGCCAGATGAGAATGGAGTGACACATTCCAGATTCTCAAAAGAAAAACTGTCAGCCCAGAATAACTTACCCAGAAAAGCTTTCAATGTCTTCAGTGACATTGATTTCTATGTCTTCATGACATAGATCATTCAGTAGCATCATTTTCTGCAAAAAGGTTTATTTCCCTTTTCACTTCTTTAGTAACTGATCATTCAATAGCTTGTTATTTAACTTCATGTTTTAAATTTTCTGTTTTCCTTCCTGTTGATTTTGTTTTATGGATTTTCATTTAAGGGGATGTATAGTAACCATGTAATAGACTATCACATACAGATGTGAGTATACAATGCAGTATACATCTCTACTTCCAAATCAAAGATGGACTCCCAGTGAAACTGCTAAATATATTTTGACAATAAGATGATGGTCTCTGCCATTGTCCATACCTACAAAGTCAGGATACTTAAAGAGCAGGATGATGAACTTATGCTGTTTATGAGGGGCCATACTATTATAATAATATACTGGAACTCAGTGGGGATAGGGAATCCCAGAGCCTATAGAAGTGTATCATAAAATAATGTAATACATAAATTATAAAAATATAATGGAAAAACATAAAGATATAAATATGATCAAGCAAATACAGCAAAAAGTTTGTTGTGGAATACAGATGATAACTGTATGGGTATTCACTGTATAAGTTCATTTTCCTATGGGTTTCAAACTTTTCATAATATTGAAATAATCCATAAATGGTTATTTTTCCTAGGCGAATCATTATATTTCATTGTATCCAGTTTGTTGTTCTTTTTTACTTGAGGAGTTAAAAAAATTAAATACTAACTTTGAAGTTGAGGTGAGAAGACTAACTCAGGGGCCCCTGGGCTAGTCAAAGTGTCAGCAGAGCCTTGTTCCTTCCTGGAGACTCTGGAGGAGAGTCCATGTCCTTTATTTCAGCTTCTCAAAACCACTTAGCATTCCTGAGTCGGCACTGGGGTCTCTTCCTATATGTTCAAAGGCAACAGTGTTTCATCTCCCTAACTGTTCTTTAAAAAATAATAATAAAATTACTTATTTAAAATTCAGAGTTGGAAAGAGAGAATGAGAAGAGAGAGAGAAATCTTTCACCCACTGGTTCACTCTGCAGATGGCTGCTTCACCCAGGGCTGGGCCAGGCAGAAGCCAGGAGCCAGGAGATTTTTCCAGGTCTTGAATGTGGGTGGCAGGGGCCCAAACACTTGGAGCATCTTCTGCTTTCCCATACCATTAGCAGGGAGCTGGATTGGAAGTTGGACAGCTAGGACTCAAACTGGCAACCGTATTGCAAGCCATGTCTTGTCTATGCCACAACATCCCTCTAGGATTCTTTTGTAATTGTATCTGCCTCTAGTTATGGATGAAAAATCTTTTGTGTTCTTTTCATGTTGCAACAAATGGCGAAATAACATCATTTAAAAAGACTGAATAGTAGTATTTCACTGTGTATATACTGTGTATATTTCACTGTGTATGTACCCTATTTTTCTTTATCCATGGCTCAGCTGTTAACTTCTAGATTCTTGTCCAAATTGGCAATTCTTTTGAGAAGTAGTTGTCGAAACCATGGAGGCAGTAAAATTTCACCCAGCAGAGTGGAGAAGGAGGGACAAAGAAAGAGCCCCAAGAAACATCATCATTTGAGAAGTAGGTGGAGGAAGGGGCATCCGGGAAGAAGACTGAAGAAGAGTAGCTGGAAAGAGAAAGAAAATTAGGAGATTTTTCTCATGGAAGCTAAGGGAGAGGGGGTGCTTTTCTGATTTTTTACTCTAGGAGTCTGCATGGCTTGAAAGGCTGTGGAGAGACGTGATAACTTCATTCTGGACATCTGGCTTAGTATTTAAGATGCCACTTGGAATGCCAGTAGCTCTGCTCCCAATTCCACTTCCTGCTGATGTGCTCCCTGTGGGACTGAAGATGATGGCTCCCCTATGGGAGATGCAGAGCGGGCCTTTAGCTAATTAATGGCTTCACCCTGACCCAGCCATGGTTACATGATGGTTATTTTAAAATATCATCACAGGGTGATTACTTGGGATGAATGCATCCAATCCAGCTTCCTGTTAAAGGACCTGGGAAGCAGCAGGTACCGGCCCAAGAGCTTGGCCCTTCACATGCAGAGGGGGAGACGTTGATGGAGTTCCCAGCTTCTAATGTTGACCTTGCCAATCCTTGGCTATTGAAATGTTGGGAGAGTGAAAGATGAAATGTGTACATTTCTTTCTCTGCCTTTCCTTCATCATTCTTTCAAATAAGTAATTTATTTACGTAACAAAAATAACATCATGTCTTTTTACTTTGACTTAACACAATTTTCCAAAACTTTGCTAGTAAAATAGCCTGGGATTGTGGATACAAATTAACATAATCAGAGATGCTTGATCCCTTTTGTTATCCTCTGTTAGATCTTAAACTGCAGGACTTGTTCAAGCTGCTATTTACAAAGGTGACCAAATGGCAAAGTGATAATGAATCAGTCTGCACATTTCAATAGGAAATTCAAATAATCAAACCTTCTCTATCAAGAAAAGATCTCTGCACCTCTAGTCCTTCAAACATGCTCAACTAAGAGGCAGTCTGTAGTGTTTCCAAACAATACTTGACAGGAGTGACTATCAGCTTCAGTCTGTACTTATGCCCAAGTTTTCCCCACACATATGCTTTATCTACTGCAAATTCTGTTGCCCAGAAGGCAATTTACATCCCTCTTGTATCTCACATTTCTGAACATGTTACATGACTCAAACTTGTCTTTGAATGAATATAAAACTTACTTGTGGCCAATGAGGCTTTCCAGACAGACTCATCTCAAGATACAGTCATTAAGAATTCCACTGCAGATGAACACTCTGGTTCCCAATCTCTTTCACTGAAAAAATTCCTCCTCCCGCCTACCCAGGATATCCCAGGGAGGGGACTTGGGCCATTGGGTCTTCTCTCCTGAGGCTGGGAATCTAGAATAAATGTGCCAGGGGCAACAGCACAGACATGACCTTTACCAGCTTTGCTGCTGCTGGAGTCGGCTTTTGTTCCTGTCTACGTCCCAAGCTCAGGCTCCACCTTCCTGTTGATCAGTGATCTGCAAATCTACAGTCTCCTTTGAAAAGGACAGAATTAGCAACCGAGACTGTTCACCAGTTCACCAGGTTGCCTGTCCCATGCCTTCTGTGACTACAAACACAGTGGATTCTGGGTATATTGTAAGATCAATGGAGAAAGCAACACCGATTTCCTCTTGGAGTGCTCTTTTGTTATTGTTGACAGGTTATTAATTAGTGACGTTGGAATTAGCAATCTAAGATTAGAAAATATAAATGAATAAGCCCTCTGTAAATATTCATCAAAATTCTATTTTAAGCCCTCAAAACATTTTCTCAGTATATATGACACATATAGGGAAACATTCTTAATGCAAAATGAAAAGTTAAGCTTCTGTTCTATATGTATCTCTTTGTCAGAGTCAGATCATGTTTTGTTCCGACTGCATTAAAAGTTTCATGAGTTATCAACCAAAAGAAGCATTGGAAAAAGTCCGTGCCGGCGTGTTAGGTCGTGTAGAACAGCTTGCAGAACTGATGCTGCGGGACGCTTGTAACTCCCGAAGGAAAGCCGTGCTTGGGGCCTTGCTCATCCTGTATGTTCACTGCAGAGACTTGGTGATAAATTTACTGCTTAGAAATGTCTTCAGGGCAGAGGACTTTGAGTGGTCAAGGTGAGTGAATCTAAATTGTAACTCCATTAAATAACTTCTCATCATCAAATCTTGAGATAAAAAGATCCTTGACTTCAAATTTTGAAAACATTTAAATTTCTGAGTGTATACCAAAATTCCTAAGCAAACTGCAAGTATCACTTTGATCACTTTATTCTTTTTTCTCTCCCTCGTTCTTCTTTCTTCTCACAGTTGAGTTTTCCCTTTTGCAACTCAGCCAAAGGAGCATGTTTTTCTTGCTGGATCCTCTTCCAGAACACAGTAGGCTGGGGAAACAAACTGTAAAGCTTTTCCAGCCAGCTTCCTTCCCCCTAGCCAGAGGCAGTTAGTTAAAAAATACAAGTTTAGGTGAAAGAGGGCCACTGTTGTTGATGAAAAGATATGAAAAGGAAATAAAAATTCCTATCATAATTGTGACATTTCAAACTTTTGAATTAATTTTCCCTTAAAGGTTTTCTCTTAAGATTATGCTCTCTCCTCTGAGAGCTTGCCAAATTCTGAGTACATTTCATTTTTCTATTTTCAAAGTTTACTTATTCTGAATATTAAGTTATAAAATGACCTTTTCCAGGAAGCATTTAAAAGGACTTGAATAGTTTATAAGCTTATCACATGACATCAATTGAAAGATATACCAAGCTATTAACGAACATTATTTTTCCCATAACATTTAAAAATTATCAAACGCTTCTAAGAAGGATCCAGATGGTGATGATGAGTGCTTCTATTGACTGGAAACCAAACCTCCTCGGCGTGACCTGTATAGAAATCCTCCCTTAGGTGGGCATCGCCTTTATGTGGTATGAGCCCGCCAGGCCATTCACCACGGAGGGGAAACCACCTATCTGTGTAGCGTCTTCTGAGCTCTCACATTTCTGATCTAATCCTGCCGCTCTTCTCTTTCAATTTCAATGTGTTGAGTCCACACTCATTTTTAATCTTGATGTTTCTTTGTTTGAATGAAAATTTTACCCCAATAATAAGCATTTAAAATATTGCTTTCAGACATTTACAGTACAAGTGGGATGACAAGCAGAAGTTATGCTACATATCTCAAGGACATGCCACTTTGGCTTACGGCTATGAGTACTTGGGCTGTACCTCCAGGCTGGTCATTACGCCCCTCACAGACAGATGCTGGTTAACCTTCCTGGGAGCACTCCACTTGAACCTAGGAGGTTGTGCTTCTGGTCCAACAGGTGTAGGAAAAACAGAGACTATAAAAGACCTAGCCAAAGTAAGTGTCTTTCAAAAACATCTTTTCTGTCACACAAATTTCAATGATACCCTAAACTGACACTGTGCCTGTTGTTGAAACATTCATTGCTTTTACCAATGACACCCATTAATTCAGTGAACTTATGGATTGATTTTTAAATGCCGATTGTATGCTGAGTGGTCAAGCTCCGTAAGCCCACATTCGCTTTGAATGCATTTGGAATAGCATTAACTGGCATGCAAATGATTGTGTGTGTGTGTGTGTGTGTGTGCGCAAAATAGTAAAACCGTCACATGTACATTTGTATCATACCAAGTTTTTTGAATCTCTGTCAATTTTACCTTGCAGAAAGTCTCTCGAAAGGGCACATGTTACTAATCTGGCAGTTTTGATGTTGGAATTTTGCCACATAATTCAAGAACTATACTAAAGTATTTTCTATCTTTCAGGCTTTAGGCAAGCATTGTGTGGTCTTCCACTGTTTCGAGAATTTGGATTATAAGGTAAAGCTTCAACATCTGTGCTCCAGAAAAAAAATGTACACATAAAGAAATAAGAAAAAAATGTTGAGAGTCACTTAGTAGTAATAGAACCATAAGTTCTATTAATAGTTTTAAATAGAGCATACATCTAGAATGTAATAGAAATTTAAAACATTCTATGCTTTTAATTCAGCTGAACTGCTAAAACAGTGATTTTCAATCTTTCTTGGCAGCTAATCCTTTTCAAGCACGATCTTAGATGGAATACAACTATATAAAATAATCGAGAGTAACACTTTAAATACAAAGTCATTTTAAGTGCTAACCTGATGGGGGTGCAGGTACGCAGCACTACGAAATAATTGGTAGTTGCCGGGCTTTGACCGCCTGCGTGTTCTTCCTGAGAGTGCCAAGAGATTGTTCTTGTGGGGGAGGCTAATCTGTTGCTTTGAGCCTTATCAAAAAAGGAATGCCACAAGTGCTCCCTTGTTTGGGGCAAGATGTGTCCACATTGATATCCCAGTGAAATCTCCCACCTTTGTGGCAGTTCAGTAATCTGTCAAGCTCTCATTCATTCTCTCCCTGTCTCTCCCACCACCCTGTTTTGTCCTCCAAAGACTGTGGAAAAATTCTTCTTTGGGCTGGTTCAGTCAGGAGCATGGTGTTGTTTTGATGCCTTCAATCGAATTGATGTGGAAGTTCTTTCTGTTTTGGCCTTCCAGATCCTAACCATTAAGTGTGCAAAAGCCGGCTCTTCTGTCAGGTATTTGCTGAATACTGTCTACACTGTTTGAAGGGAAATTCATTCCATGTTTGCTGATTGGTTATTTATTGTCAGGTATTCTCTAAATGGGGTCTTCTGAGCTTTTTTATTTGGGGTGTTTTTTTGTTTTTGTTTTATAGCACGTATCAAAAGGAATGGCACTTTCCTTCACTGTTTGCTTTGCTTGACAAATGATATAAAATGTACATATAACAAAGATGTCATAATTCTTCTAAAAAGTTTATCTGCTTTATTCCTCTTTTTATCCTTAGTACCCGATAATAGTGTTGACCATTGGATCCTACAGATTATATGTATATATATTTTTAAGATTTATTTTTATTTGGGGAGCAAATTCTATAGCAAGAGGGATGGGAGAGAGCTCTTCAATCTGTTGATTCACTCCCCAGATGGCCACAATGACTGGAGCTGAGCTGACCCAACACCCGGGGCCAGGAGCTTCTTCCCAAGTGTCCCATGTGGATGCAGGGTCCCAGGGACGTGGACCATCCTCTACTGCTTTCTCAGGCCATAACTAGGGAACTGGATTAGAAGTGGAGCAGCCAGGATAGATTTTTAAAAAGAGAGAAAAAGGCTTAAAGGGACAACATTTAAAAATAGGGAAGGAGAATAACAATGAAGCAAAATTCTAATATATAAAGTTATAGAGGATTAATCAACTCCATCAGAACACATGATGACGGATTTCACTGGTGTCAGTTAGCTCATGCTTGATCTTCCCAATGGCACATGGATAACATTTATGAATATAGAGAAGAGTTGAAAGAAAATTAGGATAAATTTCTGTCCTGCTCATCAGATAAAACTAAACTATAACCTTATTGTAGATCAGATATTTTAGTAAATGTTTGTTCAGCTTTGGGGAATGACCAATATCGAGGAAAGGATGGCACACTTTAGCATTTGTCACCTAAACTACTGAGACCAAAGTGACCAAGTGAAGTCATATGCTTCCACCTCACTGTAGGTCATTTTAAACATTAAATTCAGACCTTAGGAAAAGTCTATAAATTGTCCTTGGTGAAATAAACTGAATACTAAGTGAGGTTTCACCATGATTGCCATAACTGTCATACATAAGTTAGAAAATGACAGGTAAAAATGGAGATTTGCTTCAAAGTAGATTCAATCTCTTGTTTCTGTGACCTTGTCTTTCATATAAATGAAAGTGAATCTTATGTTAAAAAAATACATATAGTTTTAGGCCAGAGTAGAGAAATATAAATGAGTGTCCAACTTTGGAATGGTCTTTGGATCAGTGATGAGATTTGTGCAAGCATATATGTGCATTTTCTTTTTTTTTTTTTAAAGATTTATTTTTATTATTTTTTCATTGGAAAGGCGGATATACAGAGAGGAGAGACAGAGAGGAAGATCTTCCGTCCAATGATTCACTCCCCAAGTGAGCGCAACGGGCCGATACTATGCCGATCCGAAGCCAGGAGCCTCTTCCAGGTCTCCCAAGCGGGTGTAGGTTCCCAAGGCTTTGGGCCGTCCTCGACTGTTTTCCCAGGCCACAGGCAGGGAGCTGGAAGGGAAGCGGGGCTGCCGTGATTAGAACCGGTGCCCATATGGGATCCCGGGCGTGCAAGGTGAGGACCTTTAACCACTTGCACCACCAGGCCGGGCCCTATGTGCATTTTCAATCAACTTGAATAATCTTACCTCTTCATCTTAGGAGATTATACCTGAAGAAACCAATATTTTGGATTTTTTTTCTTTAATTTTATATGTAGAAAAAATATTTACCACACAGCTGAAGCTTACTTTTTCTCTTGCTGATTTGTTTATTTTTATACATATGCTTTTAAGTAGTAACGGTGTTATGTTATAATAACCGATGTTTTTGATGCACCAATAAACATGTTTTCAGATAAAATTTAGGAATCTGGGTAGTTTGCTTTATGGATATAAATTAATTTGATGGCTTAGATCTTCTGTTAACATTTCTAGCTCAAGCTAACGTTCAGTAACTTGTGGCTTTAGTCAGAGATTTTTGTACAAACTGAATGTGTATTCCAGACTTTACAAATCTAGTGTTATAGTTGGGGGTCACAATAACCCACATTTTGCTAACTCAAATTCCTAAAACATGTTCTCCATTTTAATTGGTGAGGTCAAATTACTTGGGTACAAAAAAATTTTTTTGAAATGCATGAGTTTGTTCATGATATGCATTTTCTATGAATTTTGTAGAGATTGTATTCTATGTCTGTGGAGCTAAAGAATCAGAATTTCCATAAAGTTCCCAAGTATTCCTGATGCCAATTAATGATTATTTGTTTCCAATCCAAAATGCTTTGATCAGGTAGCCACATTTTTTTCCAAACCGCTTCTCTTACTAATATTGCTTCAATCTACCCCTTTCTAGTTGAAAGAAAATTTTATTGGGATGCTAATTGTTATTTTTTTAACTTTTGATTAAAGTTGGTTTTTAACCTGTTACTCTTTCTTTGAAGTTCAAAGATTGAACTTTTAG